GTGGCAGCTGCCATATGGCTGAAGATAGGCACATACAGTAGTAAAAGGACTGAACTGAACTGTGGAGATTAGGGAGGCGAGTATGTCAAATCTGCCCTACGGAAGTATGGCCTCAGCTTCTATGGAGTCAAAGTAAGCCCCTATAAATTCTAGAATTTGAGTTGGTTCAAGAGTTGACTTTTGGAAGTGGATCTGTAGGCCTAAGAGTTGAAACAAACGCTATGTCTAGACTACAGGGTTTTTTCGAAAGAAGTGGCCTTTTTTTGAAAAAACTTCACTTGCATCTAGACTGCTGCCATATTCTTTCAAAATTAAATAGAAAGAATGCAGCTTTTTTTCTACAACGGTAAACCTAATTTTACAAGGAAGAATGCCTTTTTTCCAAAGAGGTCTTTTGAAAAAAGGCGTTCTTGAACACAAACAGGGCTTTTTCAAAAGAGAGCATCCAGATTGCCTGGGTGCTCTCTTTCGAAAAAGCGAATCACTTTCGAAAAAAGTGGTGGCTGTCTAGACGATCTCTTTCGAAATAAATTTTTTCGATGATCTCTTTCAAAAGAAGCGTGTAGTCTAGATGTACCCCAAAAAATTGTTGTTTGTACCATGCATAGTGTGTCATAATGTAGTGCCTTGATTAAACAATTGTCAAAATAGGGGAAGACTATTACCCTCCAATGCTGCAACTACTGCTAGGGTTTTGGAAAAAAACCTCTGGGGACCAGAGACAAAACAAAAGGTAGCACCCAAGACTGGCAGTGTTTGGGGCTGACAGTAAAGCAAAGAAAGCACCTGTCCACTGGGTGGGTCATAATATGGAAGTACGCTTCTTGTACACTGAGAGCTGAGAACCGGTCTTCTCTAACACCATCTTGAACTTGTGATTTCATATAAATTTGTTGAGCCTCCTGAGATCAAGTACCTGTCTCCAACCCCCGGTTTTCTTTCGAGTGAGGAAATAATTGGAATAGAAACCTCTTTCCTCAATAAGGAGCCGGTACTCATCCTACTGCTCTGATTTGAAGTAAATGTTGCACCTCAAGACGTAATAGGTGTTTATGGGAAGAGTCACTAAAAAGGGAGGATGAAGGAAGGTTTGGTGAAATGGAAATGAAGGCGATCAAATACCCAGAGTGGATGATCCCCAAAACCCATCGGTCCGATGTGATATTTGCCCACGAGTGGGGTAAAAAGGATGGAGGCAATGATTAAAGGGGTGGAGGAAAGTTGGTTGTGACTCTGGTACTGGGGAGAGGTCACTCAGACACTCAACCAATTTCTCAGAACTGTTAGCGGTACAGTAGAGGGTAAGCTCATTGTAGACTGTGACGGTATGTCTAAACTAGTTTACCCGACATAGTAATGAAGCGGGGATTTAAATAATCCCCGCTTCATTAAAATAAAAATGGCCACCACGCTGTGCCAACAATCAGCTGATCCATCACAGTGCAGCAGTCTAGACGTGGATCGGTCAACAAGGGAAGCCTTTGTTGACCGCTCTGGTAAACCTCGTTTCACGAGGCATAACGAAGCAGTGGACAAAGGCTTCCCTTGTCGACCGATCTGCGTCTAGACTTCCGCACTGTGCCGGATCAGCTGATTGTCGGCACAGTGCGGCAAATCCCCGCTTCATTAAAATAAAAATGGCCGCCACGCTGTGCCGACAATCAGCTGATCCGGCACAGCGCGGAAGTCTAGATGCAGATTATTTAAATCTGGAGCTATGTAGTCTAGACATACCTTGAATGTTGAGGTCTGCGCCATTGGAGGCATTGTTCTGAGTGGAATTCGAATGGTCTCTGCTGTGGTCTGGGATGAGATTCCCGTGGTCAGTGGTAAGGGGTGTACTGCTTATGATTATTCAGTGGGGTGTGAATACTAAGTGTCTAATCATGGCCCATGAAGCCTTCATGGCGTGAAGAACTTCATCCGTTTTGGTAGAAAAGAGGTGAGACTGGTTGAAGGGGAGGTCTTCCACATTCATCTGAAGGTCTTTTGGAATTCCCGAGACCTGAAGCTAGGAAGCCCTGCATGTCACTACTGCTGTTGCAGTTGTATGGGCTGTCATGCCCGCAACGTCCTTGGCCACCTGGAGGGCAATGCAGGATATTGTCTGACCCTCCTGTATGAGGGCCTTGGGCTAAGGGGAGGAGATCTGCTTGCTGCCCTGGTACATGGTGCTGTGTGGTGATGACTGTACAAGGACCAGGCATCTTAAGATGGCCAATGCATAGGGTGAGAGGGTGGCAGGTATGGCCACGGATGGCCATACTAGTGAGGGCCATAGGAAGGTCTAGTTGGTCTCTGTTCCCTTGGAGATCTGTGGTGGGTGGGTGAAGAGTGTTGGGAGGAAAAATGGCTATCCTGACCATCTGCTTTGACCTCACTGTTTGGTATGGAGAGAGCTGGACAAAGTGGTCACTGTTACATGATCAGTGCCGAGCAGCAGAGACTGCGGTACTGAAGAGATTTCTATGTCCAAGTGGTGAAAAAATTGAGTCAGTGCCAATGAGCACTTCAGCGTTGTATGCTTCAGTGCCAATCTGGTAGTAATGGCTGGTGCCGGGGGACCCTTGTTCGTCGGTACCAAGAAGGGTGTTAGGGCCAAAGCCAGTGCTGGTGGTGGCATGTCTGCACAGGTTGGCTTCAGTGCTGGTATTGTAGTTTTGCATGCTGGCTCAAAGACTGCCCTCTTAAGTGCCATTGACATTTGTGCCAAGACAGTACCAGAGGTGCTGGACTTGTCAGCGGTGCTCACTCTAGACCAGGTTGGCACCGCGGGTAGAGACCTCACCAGGGAAACATTTGATTTGAAAGAGTCCCGGTCTGAGGAAGAGAAGGCTTGCTTCCTCAAAGTAATGGAAGTCTCAACCTTGTCTTTGGACCTGGTTGTTGATGGGTCAGTGAAGGATCCATCTCTTGCTGGGTGGAGGGATTTTTCTAGGAGGATCATCGTCAGGTGCAGCTATCTCGCCAGGTCCTAGTCTTCATATTGCTGCAATATGAGCACTTCTGAAAAATGTGGCTCTTCCCAAAACAGCAAACACAAGAAGAATATCCATCAGAGATCAGCATGGCATTTCTGCGGGTGTCACACTTCTTGAAGCCAGGGGAACTGGGCATGACTACAATTAAGGGTTTTTTGTTTGTTTGTTTTTTTAAATGAGAAGACTTTCTCTGCATTTTTCTTTGTTGTTTTTTTAAGTAAGGGTTAGATTTAACTCTTTAGAACTAAAAGAAGAAAGGAGGGAGGGGAAAGGGGAAACATCTCTTCTCTCTCTGAAAAAAAAGGTGTGGGCTTTTTTTTTTTTACAAAAAAGGTAAGGAGAAGGAACAGGAAGGAATAAATGAATAACAAGATGATTTCTTTGCCTTTTAGGTAAAGGAGCAATGAATGCTAAGAGATCCATCTGCTGCCAGGGATGGTAAAGAGGAATTGAGGGGGACCACACCACGCACGCAGTCAATGCACAAGCGGCACCTGGGGGTGGTTGGTGCGACCAGACTCTGCTAGAAAACATCTCCAACCACTGGCAGGAGAATGCCCCAACACCTAAAATGGAGCAACCACAGGAACAGCACTTGAAGAACAGAAATAAGAGAATAAGCAATGACTGTGCAATATATGTATTTAAATCAGGCTACCCAAATATCATGCAATTGGTTTTAAAATAATGATATTTTAAAGTAATAAATGTTGCATTCTTGTTATTAGCTTTCTGGTTTTTGAGTCTTCAAAGGACACAGGTCACATTGGAAGGTTTTTTTCCACACAACCATTATTGTTAGAAGTGTACTTTAAAAAAAATCAAAGTTGATGTTCTCGAATGATTCTCAAGAGCTAGGGCTTTTGAGAAAAACACCGTAAGTATGAGACTTACAATAAGGTTGTGAAATTTGGCAACAATGCCAACTGGTCCATAGGATGCCCATTGAATTTAGCAGTTTGAAAATAATTTTGTACTCTGTATCTAAGAATTTAGAAAGCTAAAGAAAGCCAAGTATCTTGCAATTGTTTTAGATTCTGGTGTTGCAAAGTTGACCATCTAGATATGGCATACCTTTACTAAAAAATTTGATTTGAAGAAAGGTAGATTTGAAGGGTATATTTGATAAGGGCAACCTGTAGCTTTACTCTCATTCAAAACAATGCGAGATGGTAACCTTTTTTTGAAAGAGGGCAATTCTTGGTAGAATTCTCTCAAGTAAAACATTATCCTTTGCTAAGGGAGTAACTTTTAGTTATGGAGAATAACAGGGGAAAATGAACAATAGTGCTCTAAAATTATTCGGCTGTAACCTGTGCTGAAGGTTTTGATGTGTTTTAATTATATGGTAAGTTTGACAAGTCTATGTTATTCTGATTGAATCATTAAGGCAAAAAAGTGGTCTGATGTAGGGTGATGAATGTTTTAAAGGAATTGTTTTTAATTCATTTAATTCCTAAAATAACGAATGGATTTATTTGTATGATTTTAGAAAAAGTATTCTAAACTTCAAGTCAGCATAGTAAATTTGGGGAGGATACACATAATCCCTCCTCCCTTGTAAACATCAGGTGTTCTCCTTCTTGCCCCAATCCCACAATGCAGAATATCCTAATGAGGCTGTGGAGAAGAAATGACTGAGAACATAGTCCCTTTAAGTCCATATCAGGGTGATTCACAACTTGTACCAGTACATCAGTGGTCCGCAACGCGGTGCCCGCGGGCGTCATGGTGCCCACCGGGACATTTATGTGTGCCTGCCAAGTGACCAGGGCCGGCCCAAGCCATTCTTGCACCCCGGGCCCCGGGCGCATGCGCAGCCCCCGCCCCCGGGTGCCTGGCAGCCGCAAAAGGTGAGGGACCACTGCAGTACATATATTTAGAATCTGGAGAACATGTCTGAACAGACTGCATTAAGGTTTAGGAAGCTGAAACTTTAAAACTAACACATATCTCAGGGCTCCTAAAAATAGCCCAATATTTAAAACAACAGCAGATACACAAGTGCAAAGTCCTTACCTGAAACTGACATGCACATTTCAAGCCATCTCCATCTTCTTTACATACTCCCCCATATTTACATGATGATTCATCACACACTCTTACTTCAGACTCCCTTACATTTAGTTCTGTAAAAGGGGAAAAAAGAAAAACGATGTCTATAATGTGGTATGATTTATTTTTGCTATAATAATGTCAGCGTCATCTTTACACCACTAATTTTCCCACACAGCTTTTTTTTTTCAAAGTAGATAGTCTTGTTCCATTTGCTGTGTGCCAGTTGGCTAGCAGTCTGCTCCCAAGAGGTATAGCTGTTCAATTGGTACTGTAGGTACAGCTCCATTCTGCCTCATCACACAAACAGCTCCAGAACTGGCACACGCACTGCCAAAACAGTTACTGTCTTCCATATTCTCACGAGCAGTGCTTTCGCCAACCTACAACCCAAGGGGACATTCCCCAGACAGATAATAGCAGGAGTCAAGATACACACACAAAATATATAGACCATGTCCCCTCTGCCCATTCTACTTTTCTTGTCACAGAACCTGATGGGAGAGCCGTGCTGTGGATTTTAGCGGAGACTAGAATCTGTTCAGCAAACATCTGTCCTCCACTCCAGACCACATTACAAGCCACACTCTGCTCTTGTAGACCGAAAACCCTGTAACTATGTACAATATTAGTAGTAGGAGGAGTATTATGGTAGTACCTTGGAGCTCCAGTCATGAACCAGGACCCCACTGTACTAGGCACTATTCCATAAGGGTATGTCTACACTTGCTCCCTAGTCCGAACTAGGGATGCAAATGTAGCATACTGAAGTTACTAATGAAACGCAGGATTTAAATATCCCGCGCTTGATTAGCATAGTCGCGTCCGGTCGCCATTTTAAAAATCCACAAGTCCAAATTAACTCGCTGTATATAAACGCGGTATTCTGAAAGAAACCCCTTCCCTTGGATTAACTGTAGCATGAGGAGTAATAGTTAATCCGAGAGAAGGGGTTTCTTTCGGAATACCACGTCTACACGTGGCGAGTTAATTCGGACTAGTGGATTTTTAAAATGGCGACCGGACGCGACTATGCTAATCAAGCGCGGGATATTTAAATCCTGCGCTTCATTAGCAACTTCGGAATGCTACATTGGCATCCCTAGTTCGGACTAGGGAGCAAGTGTCGACATACCCTAACAGAATAAAGTGCTTACTCTGCAAAGTGAAAGCGTGACTGTAGCATTGATAGGAGTGCCCGTTAACTTTAGTGTAATTAGTGTGGGCAAGAGTAGCAGTGCAGATGCAATGACATGGGTGAGCAACCAGAGTACAAGCCCTCTAGAGACCCTGAGTCCCTGCTTGGATTGCTAGCCCAGGCCACTCAGTTTGCACTTCTGTTAGCTTTTATCTAGCTAGCCTAAATGGTAAGACAGAGGTAGGCCTACCTGTGTTATGATCACACCTTCATTTTGAAGTACAGGCATACCCTAAGTCAGGGGTGGGCAATAAAGCAGTGGTGGTTCACCACGGTTAGTCCTTGGGGGGCTGGCATCACTATATTTACCTGCCCCTCCACAGGTACAGGCAAATGCAGCTCCCATTGGCTGGGAACAGTGACAACAGGAGCTGCAATCACTGGTACCTGTGGCCATTCACGTAAATCTTGTGGTGGCGGCTCCGCAGAAATTAACCTTGGCGAACAGCCGCCATTTTTTCATCCACTCCTGATCTAGACCATCCCTGACAGGTGTTTGTCCCACTTGCTCCGAAAAATCTCCATTGATGGAGATTCCACAGCCTCCCTAGGCAATTTACTCCAGTGCTTAACCACCCTGACAGTTCAGAAGTTTTCCTCATGATAGGCAGTTTTCTCAGTGCACCAGCTGCCTCACTGTTATCAAGTTTCTTGTAGCCATCACAACAAAGAAGAGCTTTAGGGGGAGATTTGAATATTATTAACCCCAAACATAAACATGAGGTTTATGCAGGAGAGAGAACAATGAGGGTGGGATTACTTAACAAGCTCAGTGCTTAACTCTCCCTGAAGAAAATGGGAGTTATATCACCGACTTCAGTGGAAGCCAAGTAATTACAGCACTGTGTGCTTTTAAAAATCCCACTCTCACAATTTAGCTTGATAGCATTCCTTTAAAAGGAAAAGTGGCTTTCTTGCTTGGGGCTAGATTTGTGTTACAGACTTACAGAGCTGTACAGTAAGTAGTACAAATCACAAACACAGATCCATCTACACTTGTGTTTTTCAGAACTTTCTTTGGATAATACTTGGAAGCAAAACTGCATTCAGATAACTGGGCTGAATAAGAGCAGAAGTTAAAGTAGTACTTCACACTGTTCAGGAATTGTGAAATGCATGTGCAAGTTAAAACAAAATGGTTAAGATCATCATTTACCGGCCAATGCTGGGTTCTGCCACCACAGAGACAGACACTATATAAAACCAGAGGAGATGTCATCATTTGTGACATTGGCAATAAAAACCCAATAGAAAGAAATATATAGAACATGCTTCCATCATGCTTTGATATGAGTTTAAGAACAAAAACCATATTGCCAGACTTTCTAAGGTGGGTGGTATGGAACCGTGCATGTGCACAATATATGCTGTTCTGCCACCACAGAGACAGACACTATATAAAACCAGAGGAGATGTCATCATTTGTGACATTGGCAATAAAAACCCAATAGAAAGAAATATATAGAACATGCTTCCATCATGCTTTGATATGAGTTTAAGAACAAAAACCATATTGCCAGACTTTCTAAGGTGGGTGGTATGGAACCGTGCATGTGCACAATATATGCTACAGTAATGTTACTCTAGGAGACAGCATGAGTCAGCATGCTTGCCTTGGATGTGGAGCAAGGAGATGCACACTCTGCACCTGGCACTAGCACCGACTTTCTGGGTGATGTGGGGCATGTCATTCTACTTCTTTGTCCACCAGGCTTCCCATCTGTACCATGGGGATAATTATATATACACCATCTTTTGTAAAGTGCTTTGAGATCTGCAAACCAAAGAGCTATGTAAGAACCTGATATTATAAGCCAAATGCTGAAGGGCCTTTGACAACCCCCAAATTAGGTAAACATGAACATGTGCATGTGTAATAACTTCACCTAGTTGTGATGCAGCAGCACAGAATTCTGCCTTGGGGAAAGAGATAGCCAAGCAGAGTGCAACCCCAAGGTGGGAAGGGTACTTGAAGCCACACGAAGGAACGGCTGGAAAAAGGTGAAGGAGAAGGAAGGAGGAAGGAAGGAGAAGAAGGAAGGAGATGCTGAGCTAGTGGGTGAACTGGAGCCTGGGTGGGAAGTCAGAGGATAAAATAAAATAAGAATAGGGAATAAAAGCAGAGGACTAGGAAGTGAGAAGAAGGAAAGAAGGAAAACAGGAAGGCTACGTCTACACTGGCACCCTTTTCCGGAAATGCTTAAAACAGAACAGTTTTTCTGTTATAAGTATTTCCGGAAAAGTGTGTCTAGATTGGCAGGACACTTTTCTGGAAAAGCACTTTTTCCGGAAAAGCGTCCATGCCAATGTAGACGCACTTTTCCGCAAAAAAGCCCCAATCGTCATTTTCGCGATCGGGGCTTTTTTGCGGAAAACACTACTGTGCTGTCTACACTGGCCCTTTTCCGGAACAGTTTTTCCAGAAAAGGACTTTTGCCCGAACGGGAGCAGCATAGTTTTTCCGGAAAAACAATGACGATTTTACATTAGATCATCATTGCTTTTCCGGAAAAGCAAGCGGCCAGTGTAGACAGCTCGCAGCTTATTCCGGAAAAGCGGCTGCTTTTCCAGAATAAGTGGCCTAATGTAGACACAGCCGAAAGGTTTCAGGACAGAAGAAAAAGAAAAAATAGACTTCCTGGGTATGTGAGCCAATGCTGTTAGAGAAGGGAAGAAGAGGGAAATCAACAGACTTACCATAGAAGTCTGAAGTGGGGAAACTGAAAGGAAATATAACTGGTGAAAAAGGGATTAATAAAAAAGATGCAGATAATCCTGGAAGCCATGAATGAAAAACCCACCTACAAACGACCTACATACAGCACTGGAACAGAGAGGCTACGTCTACATTGGCCCCTTTTCCGGAAGGGGCATGTTAATTTCACAGGTCATAATAGGGAAATCCGCGGGGGATTTAAATATCCCCCGCGGCATTTAAATAAAAATGTCCGACGCTTTTTTCCGGCTTTTAGAAAAGCTGGAAAAGAGCGTCTACACTGGCCCCGATCCTCCGGAAAAAAAGCCCTTTTCCAGAGGATCTTATTCCTACTTCAAAGTATGGATGCTTCAAAGTAGGAATAAGATCCTCCGGAAAAGGGCTTTTTTCCGGAGGATCGGGGCCAATGTAGACGCTCTTTTCCCGCTTTTCTAAAAGCCGGAAAAAAGCGGCAGACATTTTTATTTAAATGCCGCGGGGGATATTTAAATCCCCCGCAGATTTTCCTATTACGACCTGTGAAATTAACATGCCCCTTTCGGAAAAGGGGCCAATGTAGACGAGCCCAGAGTGTGACTGTGCAAACATTTATTGCCTGAATAGGTTCAAAGGTGCCCAATGGATAAGTAAGGGTCACTAGAGGAAAAAGCCCCACTTGTGGATAAACTTGGTGAAAAGAGGGAGAGCTACAGGAGCACTGAAGTGGAGCATTTAAGTGGAAGAGAAGCAAAGAATAGGACAGCAAGAGTGAAGCTGGAGTTACAGTCCAGGACTGGAAAAGTTAATTATTCTCTGAAGTGACACAGAATGTTGTACGGTGATTGCTTTTATTCTTGTTAATAAGAATGCACATGGCACTAACTGGACAGCATATACAAGCTCACAAATGTTAATGAGACGGTAATTTATGATTTATGATTATAAATAATAAGTCTTTGGCAATGTTCTATATTATTAATGCTCCAGATACAATCTTGGGGCTTTCCCTTATTAAGTTCTAAAAATTTAAAATGATCCTTTTTGTCTTCGTTTGCCTTCTGCCTCCCCTCCTAGTTAGCCTTGCTTAGTCTAGCCTGGTCACCACACGTGTTCTCAAATGATAACGGTGATGTTGTCTATACAAAGGGTGACCATTTCTATCACTGCTGTTACCTTTGTTACACAATTTCCATAAATCTTAGACAAAGTGCAT